CAAACACTTTTTTCTTAAACATGCTCATAGCGAGCCCAAACTGTGCACTGGATAGGATCGCAATTTTAAGTCTGTATGCTCCTGGATTCCATGAACAACTCTTTAAAACATATTAATATTTTGTCTGAACAATCAAAGGAAATGAAAGAACAAAAGAATATTAAGAGGAGCGTCCTGGTTGCGGAATCCGCTTACAATTTCTAAAATGCACAGTTTGGACTCGTAATTATTTCTCAGATTCTTTCATTTGCATTTTTAATCGCCGAAAAACTCCCGATTTAATTGCCGATTGACCAATTTTTTTGAACCAAAAAAATTCAAGCAAAAAGTTCTAGCCGAATAATTTTTTCAGCTTAAAATGATAAGATAGACTTTTTTCAATAGGTCATAAGAAGTCATCGATAGATTTGTTGAAAAGCAAATTAATTATATTAAGCCAAAGCAGGATGTCGTTTTTTTGGGGATAACTATTTAACACAATTTGCTAAAACTCTGAAAATCTTGTTATAAAAACCGTAAAACCGTCTAAGTTTCGGGCCTAATTTAAGCAAGAGCTGAATTTTGGGCAGTTTGTGCTAGAACTATAATCCAGGTACCTAAATTACTTTCCTGAAAAACCACTCAAAGTGTTGAATCTTGAAGCAAGACTTTGAACTCAATCGTACAATAACTGCTCAAACCTTGATTGAAATGGGCCGAACAACAAAAAAGAAACAACTCAAAAAATTTAGGACCATTGACCACTCACAAAAAATTTAAAGAGCTACAATCTAAAAGCTTCGGCTTATGATCATCTGTGAGTGCGCTACGCGCGCATCGCGTCTTTGCGTCGATAACTGGCTCTAACTTTTCTCTAAAGTCATACCCGCTAATGCCAGGCTTGCAAAACGTTTTGCGCGCTTGTGGCTGTGATTAATTTTAGAGTTTCTTCTATTGCCATAGTTGCATTGGGGTCATTGTTATGCTTAAACGTTTTTTTTAAAGTGTGAAGCAGTTTGAATAACTCTCGTTCCTTAACTAAGCCATCGCGCAAAGAAAAAAATGTCGCATACAAAAAAATTCATTGCATTTTCATATAATTTAATGACCGTATAAAAAAAGCTCATTTTTTAAAATTTTTTCACTTTTTATATTTTTCTAAGCGCTTTTATACTTGATATTAGTACTTTCAACTTTTTTCTCGCTTTTTTAAACTATCTTACATTTTTTGAAGTATAATAGATGCCTTGGAAAAAGCATACCTGATAGTACACTGCCTGTACATGATTCCTGTCTCAACAGATCCTTTTTGTTTTTGTCCGTTGGCACTTCCATGTGACCCTGGATACAACAGAACAAAGTCAAGTTCAAAAACGATCAAATCTGAAGATAAAAGCTGCATTTCTGAAATTGTGTTTCAAGATTTTTTCTCGGAATTGATGGGTTTCTTCTACCCCAGCCGGGTTCAAAATAGACATATAGACCCCCAATCCAACACAGAGTTTTGTATTTTAGGGGTCTATAAATTACTAGGGGGGAGACATAATGCGGAAAATGGAGTAGCGGACTTAGCCCACCCTTAGGAAATCGACCCCATGAAAAACCTCAGGCTCTCCTTTTGGTATTATGTGAAAAAAAAACATCCATTTCCTGCTGACCAACCCTAAATACTTTCTATAGGCGCCACGACGCCAACATGCACAATTTTTGGGAGGAAGCAATTTTTGCAAAAATTTGGTCCAATTTTCTGAAAAAGGCCTACAGAAAACCTGCAAAAACTTGTCTGCAGCGCAAAAAATTTGGTCAAAACACGGTTTTCATAGTAATTTGGGAGTGCTCTGAAACTCTATTTGGTCGACCTAAGAAAAAGCCGGATGACCCCTCCCCATCAGGGCTTCGACCCCCTGTCGACCCAAAGGGTCCCCCTTTTGGTACTTTTTATTAAATGTATTTTTGCTGACCATAAACGGCTTTATTGACCTGTAAAAATACTGTCTGCTGGTGAAACTCCATTAGGTCGGCCTAAAAAAAAGTTTGATCTAGAATTTTTGAAAACCCGCCATCCTCTCGAGAAAATCCTAGATCCGCCCTTGGACCCTATCAACAAACATTTTACAACTGTAGGCTCTTTTCCAGTCCCCCCTTTCAAATTCAATTTTGAAAAGCTTAATTAACGTTGTCATAATGCAATGAAATTTGACGTGGTGAACAAATCGACAACTGTGAACAGATTTGTTCTTCATACTTTACTTCGTAACATGGCGCATTCAGCCATATAACACGTAAAACAATTTATAACTCTGTGTTTTAGAAGGGGGGGACTGGAAAAGATCCCGACTGTATAATACTAGATAGACAGGGGGCTCGCACCGTTTCGTAGCTTCAAGACTTTGAGCTTTTTTTTACTCCCCTCAGATCTTTCAAACTGTCTAATTTTATGGTTGTTTTTGTGTTAATATGGCGAAATGTCTGATAATACAATGGAAAGTTTGGAGAAATAATATGTTCAAAATAGTTAGTTTGTTCACTATAACGCGAATTGGATAATGTCTGAAAATAGCCAATCAGATTTATATATCAGTTCGAAATTAAAAATTTTTTAGCAAACCCATAAATCAAACGATCTGCCCGAAACTATAGATTGTTCTTGTAAAATCTTCGCATTACACTCGGCTACAATTATCTGTTGAATCTAGTCCGGGCTAGAAAAACAGGATGTAGTTTCAAGAAAAAAAAATTTGACCATTCTCACAGTTACCTAAATAGGCACACTATTTCGGCTTTGTTGGCAATCGTCAAAATACAAAATTAGCAAACTGATTGTACTAAATTTCCTTAACTATACTTTTATTACGACTAGTGTTTTGTTCTTCGCTTTAAAAATTTGACTTCACAACTTACAAAATTTGGGCGGAAAAAGAAAAAAGACCGAATTCAGAAAATAATAACCTGATGAAACTGTTGGCCTTGTCTGCCCACATACAAATTCTGTACAGGCAGGTGTGACGAGTAGTGGTTGTTTACATTGTCTTTGTTGTTTTTGTTGTCAATGTTGTTGTTGTTATTATTGTTGTTTGTCCACCATGGCTGATAGGGGGGAATTTCTCTGTGCACCCATGGCTCACCTCCTACTGGGTACTCGTCCTCTTCGCCTTCTGTGGACGAACTACTGGAACTACCTAAGGACCAGACAGGGTAAATCTATATAAATGTTTAACCTCTCAAAGGAATAATTTCAAATCATGTTTTTTGAACTTTTTATCATGTTGTATGTTTCTCCAATTAAAACCTCTCAAAAAATCAACAAGTTTCACTATGAAGGTGGCTGTATACTTTTTGATACCAGACTGGAAGGACTACTGTATGTTATAATCACGTTGTGTACACATATTTGTACAACTGTTCATTTTCTACGCTCAAATCAATGCTTCTAGATCTAATTTCTAATGCTCTTCAGCAACAGGCCTGAGATTTAGAAAAACTTCTTTTCGCCAGAATGGGCAAAAAACGGGGTTGCATGACTAAGAGTGCACGCAAATTGAAAACGAAACTAGGTTAGTTTTCAGCTTCTTCAAAATTCAAAAGAAAACTCGCAAAATTGGAGGCACTTGAAATCGTCAGATTGTGTATTCGATCCCATGCCATGGTTATGATAGTGCGTGAGAACAAGCTCTCACTTGACCTCCAGCTTCAGGTCTACCACAACCTGACCAAATTTGGCTGCAAAAGTGGTACCACGTAAAAGTTCTAGACGCAAAAAAAACGGCCTTGAGTCGCAAAAAAACAGCTTCGCTCAGCACTGTGGGGAGATGGAATGTGGCGAGATAATACAAATGGACTGTTAAGGCCTACTGATAGATCCTCTGCGATTCGCAGGAACTACAATTATTATTATTATTATAAAATTACCAATTAATCCAATAAGTTAGATACAAACAACTGAAACAAAAAAGGCTCTGAAGCGAGTGGTTTTACTAGGTTATTTATGAAGACCAAATATGTTTGGTACAGTTTAATTATTCCGCTTGTCAATTTTGATCGGACAATGTGAATGGTAACTTTACTAGTAAAAAATTGCAGGTGGGGGAAAGGAAAAAGAGCCAAAAAACAATTGGAGCGGTGCTACTCGCTTCTGATTTAAAAAAAAATCAGTTAAAAAGTTGATGTTTCTGTTCAAGCAAGAGTTAGATTTTTTACGCTACACAATTTGCTACATAATTGAACATAAAAAATCCGGGCACATTATCTATGTTCTTTTTTTCTATGTCCTTTTTTGGCTTTCATAAATCTCTATTTTTCAACCTCTGTTCGTCTGAATCTCTATCTAACAAACATAATCAATGCTACAAGGTTCTATAAAAACCAGAAAAAGTATGTGATCTTCTACTGAACCTCCTCGGGCAAAACTCAATAATCAATCAAAAAGTTTGACTCACCTCACTATTTCTAATAATATTGGTTTAAACTATGATTTTTTCAGTAGACATTTGAAAAAAATTTATTAGGAAATGACCGTTCAAGTCGTGGTCAAACTGTGCATTTTGTGATTTGTAAGCAGATTCCGGAACAAGAAGGCGCTCTGTGTTCTTCTTTTGTTCTTTCCTTTTTTGTTGCTCCGACAAAGTTTTAACATGCTTAAAGATTTGTCTCTGGAATCTAGGAATATCCAAACATAAAACTGTGCGGTTAACCAGAGCACAGTTTGGCCCCGCAATGTTTTTTTAAATGACCCGAAGGACCTACCAAAATTTCGACCAGGAGTAATAACTTAATATGTTCAAATAAGTCGCCAATGCTCGAATCGACGAACTGGTAAATGGAGAAAAAAGAACACTTCACTATATATAAGTCTATGCATCAATACAAAAAAGTGTAAAAAAAAACTCCGGGGTTGTAATAAAAATTGTAAGTGACTTTCATAACTTATGAAGCAACGACTCCTTTTCAAAACGAGAATTCAAAAACCTGAAATAGTGTCCGTTTTTTTTACCGGTTTCGAAACTTTAATTATCGCTTATCAATTTATCAATGTTGAAACGTTTTATTTTCTTAAACAAATTTTTTCTCATTTTTGAATAATTTTCAAATCAACTTTTTTCCTGTTTCCTATACCATTTGTAATATTACAACAAAGTGCCCTTTTTGTAAAATTAAAACACTGTCTTAATTTTCAACAAAAATTAGTTGTGATAATGCAAAGAAACTGGCATGATGATCAAGTTCACAACTGTTTACATTTTTTGCTTCATGTCTTGCAATTTTGCATCACGCTTTTAGCCAAAACCACGCTTAAACCAATTACAAAAACTGAAAAATTGAAAAGCGCAGAATCAAAAATGTCAGAAATTATTTCAAACCGCCTTTTCGAATTTGAAACTAAAAAAAAATCAAAAAGGCAGGGGGACTGGAGAATAGACTTTTAATTAAGAATATGATAAAATTATCAGTATCCATCACTTTTTTCATAGATGATAACTATTTTATTACGCTTAGGTACCATATCTGACTGCAATATCTTTTAATCAACTTTTTTTTTACCTTTTTGTATAGTTATCAAGGTGTTTTTATTAATCTTTCATTTCTTCTTCTGGCATCAACTTTATAAAATAACCAATAGTCATAAAAAATTGCCCTATAAACAAAACCTCTCAAGGTTCGTTTTGCCCACAAATTTTTCAATTTTCCGTTTTTTATAGTCGTTTTACGTGTTAATATGGATAGCTGTGTCGCTACAAATTCAGGTTTGACAAACAAATCAATTCACATTTATCAGTTTTCTCACCATGCCATTTTTCATTTACATTGTGAAAAAATTTTTAAAAAATTTCGAAATTGAATGAAATATTTCTCCTCGGAGCTTTTGTTTTTTTCAACGGGTTTTCTATTTTCTTAGTTTTTTTATTATGGCTGCGATAGAAGAATTGAAGAATACGCGAATTCACAGTAGTTAGGCTGAAGCTTTTCGCAAAGGAAAACTTCATTCCATTATGACAATTTATAAAAAGTTTTATCAAATTGAAATTCAAATGTGGGTAATGTAGAAAAGATCTGGACATAATTATTCACTCAAGTTAATTTTTTCTCCATGCCAAGTTTCCTTGTCTTATGACAATGCAACAAACAATTTTTCAAATATGAAAATGGTAGTGTGGATTAGAGGTTATAAACGAGTTACAAGAAATGAGCGGAAGTTTTGATCATCGAGGCAAAATTAGTGTAAACAAACCATAATGTGGACAAAAAAAATTTTCCACAATTTATTTAACTTGTAAATTTTTTGCACTGAATGCGTATGATCTTCATGCTTTCGTAATCATCAACCATCATAATGCATTAGATATGGGAAACTTAAACCATGATATAAACTGTTTTTTTTTTATATAATCGAATAATTACGGAAAAAATAATCCATTATAATCTCTTTCAGTAAGCTTAATTTTTCGTTACTGCGCCAAAATTCCTTAGTTTTGTCTAGATAAACCGTCAATCAAGTATTGCATAAGATGCATCATAACTAATTTCAACTTACTTTCTTTTTAAAATTAGATAGAACATTTTAGCAAAAACGTTTGTTTCCTTTTCATCTCCCATCCAATCAACCATGAATATCTTTCCTATCCCAGATCTGATTTTAGCTTGAAAAACAAAATGATTCTTTATAAACTCTCCTTTCTTTTGATTTTTTTCTAAAATTCAATTTATGAAAACTACCTAAAATGGTTTTTTATGTTATAAACTGCAACAAAACGAGTCAGCGTGAACAGGTGAACAAAGTTTGACAACAGAGTTTTTCTTATGTTTTTTACGAGGTGGTAGACTGGAAAAGAACCAATAAAAACTCAGATCTGAAACAATATCTGAGAAACCATTTGTTCATATATGTTAAATGGGCTCTTTTTCTTTCGCTAACTCACATAAGCGTATTTTTTTGGCATAACCTGAGGTTTTACAAGATTAGATAGGGAGAAAAAATATGTTTGTCATAGCTTAATTTGTAATAGTGCCAATTTTTGCAACAATCGGACAATGAGAACACAGAAATTACTAAAGAAAGTTCGCTGGTTGTGAAAAAAGGGAGCCAATATATGCATTTTGAGCAAACAATTGAATTTTCAATTCGCGCTGTTTCTGCAATTTTTATTTCATTTAATCAGTGGTAAAAGTTTTTCGAATAAATAAACAAATAGTCATCACGCGCTACTTATGTATTTTCGATGTTTATGTCATGCTTTAGGAAACTATTTTGAATGGTGCTACGGGGAAAATGCTTCTACGGCGGGGATGGTTCTACGGGGGATATGGTAGGTAAAGACCTGGGCCATGCATAAAGGTGCGTTTCAGGGGTTGAAGTATATTAACAATTTGGTGTCCTTTCACTGTAACTGCGCAAATTTCACATACACATGTTTCAAGAGTTCAATTAACTGTAAGCAATTTTCTGCAGAAAGAATTCAATTTTCATGGATTTTTGTGACCTAGAAAATTAATTATAATAAATTTTTTGATTTTTGATCAGAAGAGTCGATTATAATGGATTTTTAAATATTTAAAATGATCGATTATAATCGCATAAAAATCCATTTTCTTGGTTGGATGAGTCATGAAAACCGATTATATGGGTTGAGTTTTTTTGCCAATATAATATATTAAAATCGACTATTTTCCATGAAACTCCAGTGGGGGATCTACAGTCAATTTTAAGGTGTAACCAGCAATTTTACAAGGTTAATCATGAAGACCAAATATATTTGCCTTGGCCTAATTAGTCCGTATGTCAATTTTTGGCTCTTTTTCCTCCCCCCCCCCCCACCTCACTCAAACATGAACTTTATGGTATAATGAGTGGTTTTACGAGGTCAAGAGCCCAATTTTCATAATGATCGAATAATGCTAACAAAATTTGACTTGTAAAATTATTCACGTAGGGAAAAAGAGAAAAACTTTTGTTGCAATGCAAAACAAGAGTACAGAATAAAATAAGAGTATAGATGCATATAAAATAAGCACAGTTGGCCGAGTGGCCTAAGCTAAAGCCGATTATATAGGTTAACAGTTGACGTAGGTTCGAGTCCCCAACCTGCCCATGTATTAAAATACTAAAAACGGGGGTTACATCCTATTTTAACTGTTTTTTGGTTCTAATTCGGTTCAGCCTTGATTAAGGTTGACCGCCAAAAAG